ATGTTTTCTCTTATTTTGAAAAAAATGGGGTGTGGCCTAATTTAATGATTCTTATTCACAAACATCGATTTTTGCTTTTTTTTATTCATTTATTTTTTATCTGCATTTCAAAAACTTTGAGGGACACGTGAATGTGAAAAATAGAAAAAAAAAATATATATATATTTTTTTCCCTTGTGCTCTGTCTGTCAATAATAATAACAGCAACAAAACAATAATAGTAACAATAACAGTAATAACACAGGGCCTGACTCATTTCATTTACAGAATCATTAGCTAAACAAGTCAATAAAGTATCTGGGAGAGGCGAGAGGACAGGACATACACTGGGAAACAGAGGAAACGGGGAGCGAAAGTCATTTCTACCAGGGTGGATCTGCTGTATTATGCACAATAATACAAACAGATGAGGAGGGAGAAGGTAAAAGGAGAAAAAAAGAGAGAAAGGAATAAGAGAAGAAAGAGAATGAACAGGGCAAAGACCATAATCCTAATAAATAAACTAATATAAATGAAGATCCTACAGAATGTGAACCGTACTCTGAGTCAAACTGATGGTGGTCCTTGTTTTCCAGTTCACTAGGATTGTCTCTTTGCCAATAGTTAACGCTATGAGTAATAGTTTGGGATTGTGGACATCATCAGTAATTGTTGTGGTGTCCCCCAGCAGACAGAGACATGCTGGTAATGGGATGAGACAGCCAATCATGGTGAAAAGTGATCTAGTTACTTGTAGCGAGAACTGCTGAACAAGTGTGCAGAGCCACAGAGCATGGAGATATGTATGTGTGCATATTTCACATGGAAGCAGACCCATTTTTGGCATTTTTCGAGCAGTGCAGTGGACCCGGTGAAGTATTTTATATTGAATAAGCTGAAGGTTAGAGTTTTTTGATACATACCAGATATTTTTACAAATTTGTTGAGTAGGTTCTATAATAAATTGTTCCGAGCTACATTTGGTTTGTAAGACTGCTGTGAAACACGAACAGCAAAACACCGAACGTAGATAACAAAACGGAAACGTTGTGCATTGCTGTTCAATTCTCTTTGGTCAGTCATCTCAGCTGATTGTGACATTAGCTTGCAGCACAGGGGGCCCGGCTCCTCGTCCTCTCTGTCAGAGCAAACACTTGTCAACACAGAGGACTTTTCAATTGATCCACCCGTGAGCTGATTTAATTAAGCCCTTGTTGCAGTCAGGCATGCTCCCACATAATCAGTTCTATATTGCTGAAACAACTTGAAGAGACGATGTCCTCTGATATTAAACCGGAATTTCAAATCATGCCAGACTCATTCCAAAATGGCAAGGATATTTTGGGAACCGCTGTGTGTCACCATGATGCACTTTCAAGTTATTCAGTCACAGCTTTAAAACACAATGTCATTTAACCAGAATCCACATTAAACAAATTTCTCTGAGAGGTGAGTCATTAGGGTCACATGCACCAAGGTGTGAATTTCTTCTTTCACCCTCTGCCACCATGTAGATCAGCAAAGGAGTGGCGACTGAATCACCTGGGAAGATATCTAAAGACTGCATTATAAGCAGCTTATTGGTTGGTATCATAGGTCACCGCCTCAAAGAAAAGAGAAAAGTTTCCAGACTTGGCTTGAAAAGGCTGACATTAGAGTCCACCTCTATGAGTCTGAGGTGATGCTTCTCTACAAGAAAACAATGGATCGTTCCCTCTGGGCTCAAGCTCAGTTTGTGCCATCACACCACAAGCCTGAAGAAGACTATAAAGAGCTCGGCTCTTCACATCCAGATCGTGCAGAAATAACCTTTTCGAATTACAATGCCTACAGGTAAAGGTCTCACTTCCATGCTCTTAGTTGGGTGGTTTTAATGTTGAGGCAGTTGAGCATGCAGGATCCCTGACCTCGTAATCTTGCGAGCCACTTTAAACTACCTCTGCAAGCTGCAATGGCAACAGTTGCATGAGACTTAAAGTGGTTAGCTGTATCCTTTAAACATTTAAAACACTGTAGACTTGAAAACATCTTTGCTGGACAGAACTTATATCTGTGTACTGATGTAATAATTGCATCTCAGGCCTAAGGTCTTCCCCAAGGCAATCACTGCTCAGAAATCCGATTTTATCAAATAATTTTAATACGAGTGGAAAAGGCCTGAGGGTACACTGGTGAAAACAGCCCCCCCCCACCCTGTGTGACCCTACAGCAGTAAAGATGCCTGGGGACCTGTCACCATCCACGCCAGTTATAAAGTGACAGACATGATGGTAATGTTCAGTCTGCGTGTCCTGAGCACAGTAACTCATAAGAGACGAGTGATGCTACAGTTTTGGAGCGTATTTTGATGAAACTGAGATGTCTTTGATGCCTGATTGCTTTGAGGATACTCATCAGGTTCACTTCAACAATTGTCTGCTTGCATTACAGGAAGACAAAGATTGAACCCTTTTAGTGGGTTTTTAGTGTTTTTCTTGCTCCAAGCACAGTAAAATCAATGACATTTTGCCTCCTTTTTGGCCAAAATGAGGGAAGAGAAAGAACGAGAGACCCAGACAGACTGACAGACAGTCAGTCAGACGAGATTGAAAGCGGCATAGACCAGAGAGCCTTAATATTTCAGATCTAATGCATTATTTATACCCTCGGCAAGTCAGCTGAATCTGCCAGAGTGCTCTTGGGTGAATGGCGAGTTTTCGATTCAGTGCCACGTGTGTGTACGTGTGTGTCTGCAAGAGTGTGTGTGCGATTGGTGGAGCAGTGGATGAAAGACAAAGCTGGAGCCTAGAGGCCCTCACTGTGAGATCCATCTGCTGGTGGTGTGAAGCTCTGAAGTTCTTTTAGCAGTCAGGTACAGCAAAACCCTAGGTGGTCGGCGATCATGTGTGTGTGTGTCTGCGTGCATGTGTGTGTGTGTGCGTACATGTGTGTGTGAGTGTGTGTGCTCATATAAAGTGATGCCCACCAGAGGCCTTTGAGTAAACCACTCACTGGCAGCAAAGCCATGACGGTACATTCTTATTGACTGTATAATATGCACATATGTAGACCTCAGTAAGGGCTGTATAAGAATTCCTTTGGTGGAGAGACTCTGAAAGTTATGTTTCACTTTTTCGGACAGTTAGCCCTCAAGTCATAGTTTTAATTTTTTCATGTTAATAAAGTTAATAAAGCTGAATCTGAAGATGTTCGCTGTGAGTAATGTGGAAAACAGTGAAACCTGCAGCAGTCGAGTTTGTAAAAATGGCGTCACGATGTTTATTTGCAACTGCAGACGGAATACCTGTTCACTGTTTACAGAGTGAACCCTAAGACTCACATGCCACCCACATCAAGGCCCACCAGGTGAGTTTTTATAAGTAATAATGGATATCATTCCACAATCTGCATGATGAGTTACAGTATGTCAGTGAGAAATGTGAGAATTACCTGATCGAGGGCTGGGACGTACATATTACATATGCATGTGGAACAATATCGTATTCTTAGCCTTGAGAAACTGTTGGAATGCTTTTACACTATAGTTTGGATCAAATGGGAGTTCAACAGTTGGAATCTAGACCGTTTACCCCTAACAGGGAGCAGGATACTCCTGCTTGTCTGCCAATTGTTCATTTATTTTTGAGCCTTTGAAAAGGGGGGCTGTGTATAAAAATGGCTGTAATTCCTAAACCGTTATTGCGATACTAAACCTCTGGGACGTTATTAAAGACGAACAAAAGAGGCCCAGAAATGATAAAGTGTGAATGTGAAAACATTCGACTTTTAAACCCAGAGGATTTGTTCCCCTCAGTTCCAAAGATGCACACAGTGTTGTTAAAAGAAAGAGTGATGCAACACAGTGATTAACGTTTCCTCATTGTACCGACTTTTATCATGTCGATGGCATGAAATTCAACATGACTATATTTTTTTTTAAATCAATACAGACTTTAAACACCTTTTAAATATTACACTGTGTTTTATTTATATTTTACACAAAGTCCTATCTATTTGAAATAGTTATGTATTTATATTTATAGTTATATTGTGTCTTTCACATGGACATTCACAGCAAGAGTGGAAATTGCTAAATCAACAGTTATTCACGCTCACCGAGGAAACCCGGTGCCAGTGCCCAATCAGAACCTCTGCAATCATAAAATTGGCTAAATATGAATTGAATCTGATGATGTTCATCACGAGTATTCTAAAAAAAAAAAAAATCAAACATGTGATGGCCCAATAGCTGACGAGTTGTGTTTTGATGATGCGTGCTCGGAGCTAAATATAACTCAAACTAAATGAAAACTACAGTGAAGCGTGTGGATAGTTGCTAATATTCAGGAACAGCCTCTGATAAAACAGCTGGCTTTAATGGAAAACACACGTGTGCACAAACGCACAGCGTTTACTGAAGCTTCAAATATGATCTGAACTGAACACCTCTGGGATGTTTCACCTTTAAGCTTGTGCACGATAAGTTTCATATTTTTATACTTGCATTTCAAAGTTTCTCACATATATGTGTGTGCGCGTGTGTGTTCATCTATACATATATGTCTAATGCAGATGATCTTACATTAATATAAATGTGACGTGTAGTGCGAAAGATGACCTCCTACTGTGACTTGGATGATAAAAAATCATTTTCTCAGTCATGATTTTTAATAAAACAGGAGTGAAGCTCACTTCCTGCAGTCCCAGCACAATCTGTCACCAAACTGCTCACACTTGAACCCACAGGCTCACCTGTAGACTCACCTGTAGACTCACCTGTAGACTCACCTGTAGACTCACCTGTAGACTCGGCGCTCGCGCACACACGCGGTATGCCGCTCCTTACTTACTCGAACCGGTTTGGTTTCCGTTACCGCGCCGCGCCGATCGTCACTGTTTGGGTCGTTGCACTTGAGTTTCCTCACATTCCTCCCCTCCGCCCTCCTCTGTGCGCTCCAGCTGTGTGTGGGGGCGGGTAGACTCCAGCAAACCCCTCCTCCTACCCTCCTATTGGGCTGTGCAAGGACTACGACGCGGTGGGATGGGTTGTGGGGGGTGGGTTGCTGCGTCTCACGGCTTTGCGGCTGAACTCGCCGGTAGCTTAGCGGGACACCGTGTTTTCATCTCTGGAATTAAAACCTGAAGTATCGCTCGTGCGGCAGTGGAAAGCGCTGAAAGCCTCCGGAGGATGTGGAGATGCTGATCCGGGCCCGTGAGCGCGCACAGGCGAACTGACTCGCTCTAGTTCCGTTTGGAAACATTTCTCGAGCGCGTCCTCTCCTGGCATCCACCTGCCTGCCCATGGAGGGACGTCGCGATGCTGTGCACAAGGAGAACTAAAACTTTGGTGTCGACATGCGTAATCCTGAGCGGTATGACCAACATCGTGTGCCTGCTGTACGTCGGTTGGATCACCAACTACGTGGCCAACAGCGGTCCTAAAGTTGCGGAGAGCGGCGGCGGCGGCGAGGCGGAGAGAAAGTTGGAGGAGGACAGCAAAGGTGAAACCCTGAGGATTATCGAGAGGCTGGACCGGCTGGAGAGCGTCGTCAACGAGCACATTAAAGGTCAGAGCAGCCGCCGTGGTTACGGGAAAGTTTGGAGCCTCCGGGGAAACGCCGGGCTCGGCGTCATTGTAGGAGCAGTGCGGAGTGATAAAGCTGCGATCCCCGCACAATAATCAGTTACACGAACATTTCTGCTGTTGCTTTTCTGTTGATGTAACCGGGGCTGAGCGACTAGTTAAAGGGTTAATCAACAGATTAGCAGCTAATGGAAATATTTGAGCCCCATTTGTCCAGCGCGTGTTTCAGATTAAAGTCACAGCTCCACCTGTGCACCGAGCCTCACGGAGACTGCTGCAGTCCATGTGATTATTTGCAACATGCAAACAGAGCCTTTTAAATGCTGTGGAAATTTTCCACTGGAATATACAATGTATCAGACCTGCTACCCAGATCTCATTAATAAATTAGCATTGATTATTTTATTAACAAAGAAAAACAAGAAACTGTCACGTAAGCAGTAGAAAGCAGACAAATATGTAAAGTATGGAGACTGTTTTGCATACTTTAAATGCAGAAAAAGAGCTGTGGAGCAATTTAATTACGCAGGCAGGACCCACACGGCCCTTTTTCCATCTTACATTACTGCAGATCATGTTTCAGCAGCCATGTGCTCCTGGCTCTGTGGATGACTCTTGCTTTGCCGTCCTGTACATCTGTGACAGGTCACCCTGTTTCTCATTGGCTGTGAAATAATTGCGGAGCCTTGTGTGACATGTTTTTTATCAGTTAAAGTTAGCCAATAAGCCCCACCTTCGCCACCACAGTGCTTTAATATTATAGTAGAGCAAGAAAACCTGGAAAATTCACATGTGAGAAATAAAGTGGAGACGTTCCCCTGCTGCTTAAAGGAGGCAAATCCATGAATTTATCCTTCTCTCACAGCTGCCTGCAGGTCTTGGAATAGCAGACTTCTACACATGTTTAACAAAACATCGAAGCACTGTGTGGCTGCAGAGGGAGCTGTGTATCAGTCCACCGGTGGTCCAAGTCAGAGTGATTACAGAACAGTAAAAGTATCACATGATTCCACAGATTCTCATAAGGTGTGAGCTCGCAGCTAAAGTGCCTCGATGTGCCTTTTTTAGGGTACAGCTGCTTGTCGCTGATGCAGAGCCCACTGAGGCTGTGGGTTTCAAAGATTTTTGTGCCTGAGTGACACAAACAGGGAAAGCTAAAACGTCAATGCACTCCTGCTCATATTCATATCTGTGCTAAATGGTTTCTGTATTATCTGTAATGTTGCAAGTTCTTCGTCTGCCAGTTTCTGTCAGTTCTGGACTTCATGAAACACCTTAACATCCAACAAATGTTCTCACTGTTCAGATCCAGCTCTGGTGAAGGCAACCAGTCATCTCTCTGAAAGGATATTTAGATCTGGCTCCGTGTTAGCATTAGCCGACTTCTCCCAACAGATGGTGGTCGGGGTGAGGAATGCTGAAGCCATAAGTCTGTATAGTTGTGTGTTACCAAAGCATTCCTGATGTGGGACACTTGTATCCTAGAGAGAGCGTACCATAAAATAATGGTACAATGCTTTTAAATGGTGCAAAGTTGGTTACAGAGTTACACCCTTAATTTATTTTCTATGCAGTACTTTTCCCTGTTAGCTGGAATCCAGGGTGTCCAGAGAAAGAGTCGACCCACAACCTTCTTCCTGTGAGGACGCAGAGCCAACTGAATGAAATGTGTGCGAAAGCCTTTCATTTAATGTGACCTCTCCACCTGATAACCAGTGAACAAGCATAGTTTCAGAAACTAGAAGGTGTTAGCTTGCCAATTATTTGCCCTTGCAGGTACTGTGCAGTGAGGGTTTCCTTTGGGTATACCAGCAGGGTGAAAATTCCACATAAACCAGTAGATGTGCACCCTAACCCCATACTGACCAACAACAAGAAAACCCTTTCAGCTCTGAAAAAGTTCGGTCCAGTGATTTGCTCTGGGGGATCACATGTATTTCCAAAGATGTGATTTTGTTAAGGAGCATAGTGCTTGTTATTTGTACTTGAGTCCATTCATGCTGCTAATATATGCATTTAGTGGCGTCTGAGCTGAGTAGAGCCTCAAATCCATTGATAGTTAATGTCCCACTTTAATGTACTATTTGTGTTTGCTTCATCACCCCATTTAAAGCCCTCTCTGGACAACTTTTAAAGTCCAACCTATATTCAGGAACAGATTAGTTCAGTTGTCTAAAAGCGTCATCGGTGTCAGAGCTGGATAAATGTTTCTACAGCTGTCTGAATCTGTGGACGTCTTCATTAAAGGAGACCGTTCATTTCCAGCTCTATATTTTTATTATAGGGATTTTATTTCTTTGTTCACAGTTGAAAATAATCCTTATTTCATGCAGGCCCTCAGCTCGTTCCTGCCTGAGAGCTGAAGCCGTCATAAACAGACGTTTCAAACAGCAGGTGTGTGTGCTCACTGATGACCAAAAAAGGATTTCTCCTGTCTTTGACATCATAAGCAGAACACTGCTTTCATATCTGCACATCTGTAAATAAAGTTGACCCTCCTCATTCACCTCGATTCGACTCTTAGAAGAAAAACAAAAGCTTAACACAAAGTTGTATCAGTGTGTTGATTCCTGACTTAGATGCATCTCCTAAAAGTATAAAGTCTTTCACTTCATTCATTGCACCTGCATGATAGGTGTGAATGAAACTGACAGAAAGGAAACTTTGCATACAGCACAATGTTGCACGTGGGAATACCTTTGACCAATATTCTGACCGTTTTCCTGAAGCAACATTAGTCATCGTGTTTACCGGACACATCTGTCGCCAACATGGGTGCAGTCGGGTTGGTAATTTCAGCGGGTCTTTGCGAGCCGGATGGTTATGCAGACAGGTGTGCTCTATGGGCGTCAGCGGCCGTTGCATTGTTTTCTCTTGGCCTTCGTGCATTAATTACGCTGCAGTTTGCTGTGTGTTTTCAGGCATTTGAATGAGTTAGCGGTGTTGCTTTATGCTACAGACACAAGTCTAAAGCACTCTCTGCATATGTTCTTGGTTAACATCACTTGCCCTAAAGCTGATCCGCTTTGAGGGGTGCGTTTGCAGACTAAAGCTGTGCCAGACGTTTGGATTTTGTTATAAATCTGTCTTTAACCTGGTGTTACTCATCCAGCCTCATCCAAGACACTGCAATCCGCGCAGCGCAGGAAGCAGCCGGGACTGGCACGTGCAGCCGCGTGGTCAGGTGCTGATTAAGGGAGCGCTTCATTCGTTTTTGCTTTGCATTCTTTTGGCAGTGCATGGATTTTCAGTATCGCTCGATCGCAGTCGTTTCACTGTGGGAAGCCAAAATCGAGATCAAGATTAAAATTTGATTAATTGTGCAGCTTTAATACAGACCCAAGAGAAGAAGAAAAACGGTATCAATCTGAAGCCTGAAGCTTCTGGCTCACATGGATTACCTCGACATGCACTGACATCATTATTTCAAATTAAAGACATGTTTAATACGAGGATGCACCGCTGGAACGGTTCATATATGACAGAAAATAAAGAAAAGAGAATAGGTTCACCCCAAAGAACTGAGTTTTCTATGTTTACTAGCAGCGAGTGAGGATTTTATCCATCCGTCCATTTTCTTCCACTTATCTGGGGCAGGGTCGTGGGGGCAACAGCCTAAGAGAAACCCAGACCTCTTTCTCGCCGGACATGCCTGGAACAGCTCAATCAGGAGGCAGCAAGCTGAGGGGATACCTGCCCGACCTGCTGCCTCTCACCAAGAGCAACTCCAGACTAGGACCGAGTCCGTCCCCTCTCCAGGAGACTGGTTCCAGAGCCCAGGCTGTGTGTCTAGGTGAGCTAGACTATATCTAGCTGGTACCTGTTAATGTCATGCAGTAGCTCAGGCTCCTTCCCCACCAGAGAGGTTACGTTCCATGTCCCAGTCTCGGTAGCTGGGGATCGGTCCGCCAGGGTCTTGACACCTGGCCCAGCACAAACTGCACCTGACCCCTAAGGCACCTCCTGCGGAGGGTGGGCCCATGTCCCCTGGCTGGGCTGGGCCCCCAGGCGCTCGTCCTCGGGCACCCTCTCCAGGTCTGGCTCCGGGGCGGGGCGCTGGTAACCCTGTCACAGGCAGGGTGAACTGTTCCCTAGATTTCACACTCATAGATTTTTTTGAATCGCTCTTTGTGTGGTCCCTCACCCAGGACCAATTTGCTGTGGGAGACCCTACCAGCGGGCAAAAGCCATCCAACAACATCTACCCAGGATTTTATTCATTGATAAAATGATTCCGTGATACAGACACAGAGGGCTGCTACTCCCCCTGGATACTTCACATTTTAATTATGCTCCTCAGAGATGTGCATCAATGAGTCAACAAAAATTTAAAAGTGGGGCAAACTCTTTCCGTATCCTCTGCTAAATGGGACAGTACATGATCCAGTAACTGAGTGCAGGATTTAGGAGAAATATGCACTGCTGAGTTGATTAACACCGGAGCTCTGCTCTAATGCCAATAGTCGGCGAGAGAACGCCATTCCTTGGAAAGATAAGGGACCTAATTTATCAAACATCTCTGAGAAAGACTGTTGATCCAGGATTAATTTTGTGTTTCGGATGAGCTCGTCGAGAGCACGCTCCTAATCAGAGATGCTGAATTAATGCTGTTGAGAGGAAAAACATCATTTCTCATGCAGAGATGTATAACTGTGGTTCGTTTGTGCAGGGAAAAGATACGATTTTGCATCAGTTTTAAGAAAACTAAAGAAAAAAGGTTTTTTGTCTTGCATTTAAAATCATGAGAATGTAAATCATGAAGTTTCTGAGAAAAGAACTACATTTTATTCGAGCAGTATTTTTATTCAGAGCCTTTTTATTATATATAAAAATGGACATTTCATTCACCAGTGACCAGGAGAGCAGGCCTTTCTTTTTATACCTCTGCTTCAAACTAACTTACATTTCTGCACATTTTAGATGGGAAATAATGCAGATTTTTACCAAAGAGCAGCTGAGAAAAGCAGTTCATTCTTTCAAGCA